GGTAAAGGAAGGCTGGAAAACCAGCAGTGCTCGGACCTCGAGGACCGTGAGTTGAATAACCCTGTTTTAAGCAGTTGCAAAATATACAGGTTCATAAAGTACATTGTAACACACTGTGGCAATGAGGTACGGTAAAATGTCCGAGATACCAGCAGGGCCCATATGACCCCAAAGAGTGAATTACACTCAAACAGGCACAGTGAGGCATCAGTAAACGTTTACTGACTGCAAACAGCATTTTTACGTACCGAACCAATACGGTGATCATTTAAAATAAAATTAAAACAATGACCATACTTTCACTACCTAGCAGTCAAGTTACAATTAATTCATGCCTCAAGTCAGTTTGCCAAATGTAGAAAAAGAAACAATTTGCATTGAGTATGAAAGAAATTGAAAATGGTTGGTCTCAAATGAGAAGGCGCCACATTTATGTAAATATGTGTACGGGTATTATAAATAAGATGAAGATGATTTGCAAAATAGGTAATTTCCTTGCAATCAATCAACTAAGTAGTTCCCTAAATGTAAACATATTTACATGCCTTTTCCTGAAAGGAAAGAGTGATACTCAGTCAGCTGGTATGTTCGGAAGGGGATGGTGGGGTCAGATGGGTGGCGGGGTGCGGTGGTGGGGGGGGGGGTCAGTCAGTGAGGACCTGAGGCTGCAGCGGAGGCGGCAGGTAATCTTGGCCCAGGTTTTCCGAGTCAATGGCGGAGGTGCACTGCCGGTCCTGTGGAGGGTGCTTCTCCAGAGCCTGTCTGACCTCGCGCTCCACGTCTCGCTGCCAGTCAATGAGGTCTCTCTCCAGCTGCTGGGCGCCCTCCAGTACGCGCTCCTGCCGCGCCCCGAGCCCCAGCAGCAGCTCCAGGCTGTCGGAGACCGGCACCGGCTGGCACGCCTGGCCGGACATGTAGCGCTCAAACTCGGCTGGGCTCAGGTTCAGAGACTGTGCATCCAGCTTCTCGATGAAGGCCAGCGCACAGCACTGTGGGACCGGGAACAAACAGCAAAGGTCTGCGTTATCATGGCCGCCTGTGCCTGATTATGTATGCATCGCCGTCTGTGTCTAGGTGTGTGTGTGTCGATGTCTGCGTGTATGTCTGCGCATGTGTGCATGTCTGCGCATGTGTGTGTGTATGTGGGGCATGCCCCTTACCAGGTTGGTAAAGTAGTAACCGTCTTCTCCACTCATGAGCCGGCTGGGGTTGCAGAAGCGGGTGATGTACTGGATGTTGGACTGCAGGCGAGGTGGGTTGGCCTTCAGCACCACGTAGATGAGGGCGGTCAGGAAGTCGTCGGCTGATGCAGGTTCCTGCTTGCTGATCTTGATGGCGCTGAAGATGTGGGTGCTGCAGCGGGTGATGCATCCCAGCTTGTCACGGGGCACTCGCATGGAATCCACCTGGATGATCTCTGGGAAGGGGCCAGACACGGTCAACACAAGGGCCTCCCCGGGAGAGCGGACCAGAGGGCCACCGCTTACCCACCTGTGATGGCCTGGAGCATGTCTTCCGAGACCCTGGGGATCTCCTCGTCCACAGGGACGCCGAGCATGTGTACGGTAACCCAATGAAGGGCCCTGCAGCAAAGGGAAGGAAGGTGTGTCCACAAAGGCCAGCAGGCAGAAGGAGCAGGACAACAAAACTCCATATATGAGCCCTAAAGAACACACACCACCACAAGCGGCTCACCTGATCCTCGTCTGTATGGCCAAGTCTCTCTTCTCATCATCTGAGGTTTCAGGGCAGAAGACGTTCTTATAGAGACGAGTCATTATGTACCTCTCCACACGGTCCATGACCAGCTCCACACGCTCGGTGGACCCTGAGAGACAGAGGTGGGACCGTGTGTTCAGGGAGGGCAGCCCAGGCCAACCATACGCCCACTAAAGCAGAGCCAAATCCCGTGCCCTACCTTTTAAGTGAGTAAGCAGGCGATCTGAGAGGCTCTGGTAGAAATCCTGGACGCACTCGGAGGACTCATCTGCACCCAGGTCCTTGAAAACAAAACAGTAACAGACATGTATTTAAAGGTAGAAAAAAAAACATATGTTCAGAATCACTTTTTCACCATTACAATGATTTGATTTAAGACAATATGAAAAATTTATTTTAGCTAATGCTTTTGGTTTAATGTGATTTTAGTAAAAGCAGTTTTTTAAAAATCCATCCATCCTCTGTCGCTTATCCAGGGTCAGGCCGCGGGGATGCCCAGACCTCCCTCTCGCCAGCCACCTCCTCCAGCTCCACCGGGGGAATCCCAAGGCATTCCCAAGCCAGCCGAGAGACATGATCTCATTTCAGCCGCTTGTATCCGCGATCTCATTCTTTCAGTCACCACCCAAAGCTCATGACCATAGGTGACGGTAGGAATATAGATCGACCGGTAAGTTGATAGCTTTGCCTTCTGGCTCAGCTCCCTCTTTAGCACGACAGAACAGTACAGCCACCGCATTACTGCCGACGTGGCACCGATCCGTCTGTCGATCTCCTGCTCCCTTCTTCCTTCATTTGTGAACAAGATTCTGAGATACTTGTACTCTTCCTACTGAAGCAATTAAAATCAACGGCTCAATTAATTCCAGCTAATTATCTCCTGAGCTTGGAAGCTGCGTCTTGAGAACTTCACAGAGACAGCGCCCCCCTCTGGTGCCTCACTGACCTCTTTACTGGCCATGCTGTCAGTGAACTTCTTGCTCTTCTTGTAGATTTCCAGGCCCAGTCTCGGGAGCTTCTTCAGGAAGTCCACAAACTCCGTCGACACACGATCAGTGTCAATGCTGACCTTCCGGGTAAGAGAGGGACTCGAGGTCCTGGCCTCTGGGCTCCCTGGCAGCACAGGCAAACAGCAAAGAGTCCCGTCAGGGAGATGACCTTGGGACGACCTTGAGTTTATTTCTACATTACTTGTGATTCGTGAAGCTGGACCAGCTGATAACACCAACCTCACAAGGCATCTCCTGGCTCATCAAAGCACAACTGCTTCAAATATGTTAGCTGGTTAACAAAGATGTAGAGAAAACCATATTCGGAGTTAAAGGGACAGGTGTTAAATGTCAGTGTGGATTCAGAGTATGGCACTAAGTGGGAATCTCAGTAATTCGAGTCGTTAAACACGCTGCGTCACAGCTGGATCAGAAGATGGGGAAAAGCCCACTGTGACCCAGGGATGGGATTTTTAGCAGAGCTAACTAATCACATCGAGGCACCTGCCTGCGAAGCCAAACATTTTAAAAAGGAAGAAGGCAAGACATTTTAGAGGAACGAAGAGGTAAGCATCTTATATGCCCCTGTTCTCAGTAATTCTTCTGTTAGTGAATTCATTGTCACATACAATTCCACCCGTATTATGTGTTGTTAGGTAAGATAATTTTACACATCGGAATATAAAGATGAACAGCCATGTCCTTTATGAGCTCCGCGTATTGACCAGAACCAAGACTTTACATGGTACAAGCTGGCCAAATGACACAACGTTAGGATCTATTCCAGGAACACATCACCAGACGTGTATCTGGGTGAAAAGCTCTGCATGGAAACGGACTAAAACAGAAACTGAGAAAGCACTGGGGGGTGGGGGCGGGGGGGTTGACCCAGAACTGCAAACAGCTGCAAAAAAGGACGTGTCTGTGCAGCCGATGAGCTGCCAGATTGTATCATTCGTGGCAACTGGACTGAATCTATATACAGTGTTCCAGTGTAGGTGTGTAACACTGCCTCCTGCTTACCATACACACTACAGTTTGCATACAGAGCCAGACTTCTCATATCCATGAGGAAAAAAACACAATTGTAAAATATAGCCTGTACACAAAACAGGCAAAAAAAAAATTTTAATAATAGACATAATTTGCCACTGTACATTTTTCAAAGGCATTTTCACACGGTACCTTTTTTGGTTGAAGCGCGAGACGATGGGCTGAAGAACTTCTTCACAGTGTTCACTTTGCGCGCCTTCTCATTGGTCTTTTTCTCCTCAAACTTCGAGAAGTGCGCTAGAGACGGCGGCTTGGGTGTCGGCCGCTGCACACTGTATGCGGCGGCATCCTCTTCCTTCTGTAACCTGGGTGGGAGTCGTACACATGAGATATTATTTAGCACCTGCACACCAGCAAAGTGTACAGCTGGCTCTTCAGCAGAACTGTTATCCTCATTATCTATCCACAAATATTATTTGCATAAATAAGAAAGGTATTATGGGAAGAACAAAGTGACATTTACTCTTTACGGGTAGTCATTCATGAGAGTGACATGTCTTTATCCAGTGGAACAGATGGACATTCCAGTGAAGCACTGCAGGTTTCTAGGGTATAACTACAAGTTTCCAACTGGGACTAGAAGTGGCAGCTGGTCACTGCTCCATCTGCTTGCCAAAACTTGTTATGCAGTCAGGTGTGTGAGGCTGGGCGGGGATTTGACCCCCAGTTCACAAAACAGACACTTTAACCAGAGATGCCTCAGGTCAGTTAGACTTGGGATAAATAATGACAACAAAAAGAGCCTTCGGCCATGTTAATTAGCATGATAGGAGCACATCTGAGGATTCAGTGATGACCTGGAATATGAGGGGATGATCTAAGTTGTGGACCTCCTCACCTCTCTGCCAGCTCGCGGTCCTCCTGGATCTGATTCTGCCGGCCATGTTGGTAGTCCTCTCTCCAGCATTTGGAGCAGTAGCCCTTCCAGGCGGCGTTGCCATAGTAACCGCATCCTTTCTTACACAGCAGCTCCGACTGATCCACATGGATCCCCCTGCGCTTCGATTTCTGACTCATCTCTTTTGAGGAGGGATCGGAGCAAGGCAGGGAAGGAAAGATACAAGAAGCAGTATGAGGAAGACCAAACGCATACAAAGAATAGATTGATTTTAAACGACAAAAAGAAGATGTAGGTGTTCTTTGGGAAAATGGAAATGGATTTTTTGTTGGGGGGTAGGGTATTATGGCGTTTTTCCACCACACCAGGTACCGTACTTTTGGTACTTCAAGAAAGTACCTCAAGTACCATACTTCAAGCTGTTGCTTTTCCACTGGCGGAAATACAGTGGTACCTCAGAACTCGAACTTAATCCGTTCAGAACTCCGGATCGAATCCTAAAAAGTTCGGGTTCTGATCGAATTTTCCCCATAAGAAGTAATGGAAAACCAATTAATTGGTTTCCGGCCCCAAAAGATTACACTTAAATATGTTTTTTTTAGCATTTAAACACAAAATGAAGCGGATAAAACAAGAAGAGCATATACTGTACTAAACACATCTAAGCACATTTATCAAAACAGTAATTTGTAAAGTAAGAAAATAAATGTATCCAAACAATGTGTAAAGTTAAAAAAACAATGTGTCCTGCCCCGATCGTCCGCTCCTTCCGTGTACCACGACCATTCGTTATCCCCATGTGGAATCCCCTTTGTGATCAGCTGTTTCTGGTTGTTGTCATGAGTCCTCTGTATTTCGTCCGCGTTTCAGTTTGTTTCCCCAGTCCGATCATTGTATAGTCCGTCTGCATTTTGCCTGCCTTACCTGTAATTAAACCCCGTATTCCCCGATACCCTGACGTCTGCGCCTTTGTCTCCATTCCGTCCCCGCTCGGCACTACAATATTATTATAATTAAATGTATTAATGGTTTATTATTAATATTAAAATATTTAATAAGAAATCTTTATTTTAAAATGTATTTTATTATATGATAATAATTACTCTTACTGTCTATCATTGTCTAAATGTATTTTTACTGTCTAAATATATGTATTCAGTTAGTGTAAAACATGCACGATGCTATCACAGCAAATGGCAAGCTGAGACTGAAGCATTACCCTTTGTTTCCGCAGAGAGACGTGCCGCGTGACTCGTTTCCCCGCGCTCAGCTTAGGTCGGCGTTCACGGTTTGACTTCTGAGATTCAGATCGAGTACTAGGTAATTTTTTCCCGAACTGGTTGGTTCGACTTTTAAGAAATTCGAGTTCTGAGGTACCACTGTACTGGTACCGGCGCCGAATGACATCACAGTAGGAGGCGGGGTATTTTATAGTAGTATATTATAGGGCTTGGCGATGTGCAATATCAATAGAAACATGGCACGTTATGCACATTCAATCAATTCTTACATCGCTAGTTATTAAAATAAGTTATTTCTTACTTTCAATTCTGTACAGACACTATATAGTGCGGGGGTTAAAATTTTTTACTGTCATACGAAAAAAAAAAACGTATCAAGCTTTGCAGTTTTAATTATTATGCATTTTATAGATTCTTAGGCTTAAAAACCAGTTTAAAGTTTACCTCCGCTGCATGCTCCGAGACAGTCATACTCATTTTCATCTTTGCCGTTTATATCAATCGAAGACGGGTTTGTGAGAAATTTACGAACTTTTTTGTTTTATAAATATTTATTACAACTAAATCACATCGCTAGCACAGCACGTTATATGCTTGGTAGGGTGCCGTTGGCTGCAGGACCGGACGGCTGTTTGTCTATGCTGGACTACCCCCACCTCCCTATTCCCCTCCCCTGTTGCAAGTCTCGACTTTAGTGTTGTGAGATGTGGTGACTATGTGCTTATTGCTGAGGTGTTTTATTTCTGTTCCTATATTGTACTCCCTACTGGAGTACAGTCTGGGGGCTGTTTTTTTTATTCACCTCCACTCTCCTCACGTAATCTTGTTTCTCTGAGTTTTCCTATAGTCCCCTGTCTTCCTGACCTGTCTACCCACCATAATGTTTGTGTATGTGATGTTTGTATATGTATGATCAGGTTGATGGCAAGTTTTTTCGCTGGTACTTGTGACTAGTGACATGGTGTATTGCAACAGCAATAAAGGGTTTCATCAATCATAGTTCAGGCAATGGAGTCCAGCGCAATGTTTTCGTTGCAGATCAATCCCCAGCTAGAAAATAAACTTATCAACAGACGATTCCATCTTTTCCCGACAGTCGAGTTCGCCTGTGGTGTAACTACCACTACGAAGGTGGAAGGAAGCACAAACACGCAACCGTGACTCAGTACCAATCGTCTGGTCATCGGTCTTTTTATTTCACATTCCAGTCACTTCGCTCCCTTATAATTACCGCATATAATTCTAATTATACTTAGCATCTATAAGCACCTATAATAATCAGTTTCCACCTGTGGCACGACCCAAGTTCAGAAGCAGCCAGTAAATCGCCACGTATTAAGCGGAGTTCGCTGTCCTGTCTGGGACAGTCCGCCCCGCCGTTGGTACCTCTCCATTGCTGGCTTACGGTAACGCCAGTATCTGCCCTCACTTTCTACTGCCGTGACGGCAGACCGACACTTCCTATACACAGGGATACAAGCTTTTGAGTAAACAGTCAAAACCGAAAAAGCAAGAGAAGCGACAGGGGCGGCGTCTATAGAGACCTCTGTCGTGTTTTGAAATGCCATTTCGCGTTAACTACAGTTCTATTGGCAGTTTACAAACACTGAACTAGAAATGTATCGGGAATGTGGGCGTTTTTTGTTGTTTTTTTTTAAATACTGTTTTATGGGGGGGGGGGGGGAGAGAAAGTACATAACAACCTATTTCGCTCCACCCGACTGAAGGAGTACGGAAGCACACCCACCCCCATGGCTAAACACACACCCTCCCCATCCGCTAAGGCGACCCGAAAGCAGCCTGCCCACTCGGCAATTTTCCCGTTCCTACCCGGATTCCCCCCGGGGTCTCCGATCGCTTTCTGCGGCTCCGGACGACCCTCTTCTGCAGTTGCCCAGTCGGCTCACAGCTCGTTGCGAGGCACCGTCTTCCTCCTCCTCCTCCTCCCCGCGTCATCGCGCAGCTGGGCCGGGTAACTACAAGCTCACCGCCCCCTTTCCTTTCCATAACCTGACGACATTTCAAACGCTTCAGCTCTGCATATGTCCTTTATTTTAATACACATATCGTATAGATACCCAAATATTCCGATTCAATCGATTTCAATATAGCGCCCCACTAAAATGTCACGAGTTCACACGTCAATTTACGATTCAAATGTAAGAACAACGTCGTTTGCATCGGTTACATAATATTTAAACTCGTATAAAACGCAAAGGAAAGCAGTGGTGTAACTCGTTTCTACGGCAGTATTTTCGAGCTTTGTGTACAGACAGGGTGACCAGATAATCCATGTCACGGAGGACACTGAGCTATAGGACAGGAATTGTAAATCACCATTTCAATTAAAAGGACCTGGATTTCACTTGAGCGCTGAGTTGTTACTGTGTGCTGATTGGTCAGTCTCCTATAATCATGCATGTGTCACTAATACTAATGTGAAACAGCTGGATGAGTCTTTCAGTCAAGGAAACAAACCAGCCAAAGCACAAGAAGAGCTGAACTATTTAGCCAAGTGAAGGAGCCTTTCAGTTTGAAAGTAGCTTGTAAAACCCAAAGTAGCTCAAAGTGTCCTACCTGACATGGATTATCTGGTCACCCTATCAGAATACTCGCAAATTATTCAATAAATGCTAAACTTACATGTTAGAGAGAAAACTATCTGGTATGACTTTTTCTTAATGATCATTTAATGGTTGTTACATTTCAAAAGTTGTAAATTTTTAAAACAGGAGTACCACAGTACACACAAAAGTAGCAACTTTCCCCAAAAGTTTCGGGGTTTCCAGCGTTAATCTAAATAAATTCTAAATAAATACTCTTAATTCAAATAAATACGCTATTAATCTGTAAGTCCAATACTGGCATGCTCCACAAACATGAAGCTTATTATTTTACAGTTCTTTAGTGGCACAGTAAACACAAAATTAGCACGGAGCCAATATGCTTAGAAACACTTCCATATGGGGGGGGAGATAACAAACTCCCTCAGAGAGACTCAGTCCAAGTTCACACAGTCCTCCGGGGCAGCCATCTTGGTTTCCGCTTGTGGTCCCATTTTACTTCCATTTACTCCATCTAGTTATGCGTGTGCAGAACTGGAAGCTTTGCGTCGTGTGGGAGGGCATGTGACCATAGATAGAACAGGACAGAAGATTCTTCAATGTGGACAGATGTATTTTAGCACAATCATGATCATAAGTTATTTAAGATAACAGTCTGAGCTTGACAAAATTCCCAGAATAATCTGTCATGCTTCTGCAGGGTGTTTTAGCTATGATGCAGTGCAGCTCACAGAGACTCCAGCTGTAAAACCCCTGCACAGATCTCCTGTTTTAAAATAAAGTTTGTTCAAAGGGATGAAGAAGTACCTTTGCTTGTCCTGTGAGGCTTCAGTGCAGGGATGTGACAAACAGGCGGGAAGCGCTGTAGCCCCGCCCTCTCACCACCATGTGATCTTGAACTCATAGATGGGCCTCTTGCAGTAGTAGTGGCTGATGAGGTGCTTATCGCACACGCCGATACACTGCTGCTCGGCTGCCACGCCACGCTCTGCCAGGTCTCCCACAATGCAATGCAGTAGGTCATAAACGTCGGCCACGCCCTCCCAGGGCCCAAAGGACACGTCCACCTCGCACTGGTGTTTGAACAGCTTGGCCTCGCTCTCGGGGCGCTCCAGGGGCAGCGTGCTGAAGGGCGGGCGCTCGTATGGTGTGATGGGCATTTCCTCCTTGTACACGCAGATCTTGAGCTTGGCGAACCGGGCCTTCCTGTGCACAGCCCTCAGCTTGGCGATCTCCATGATACGCTTCAGATTCTCTGGGGGGGGGGGGCAAGGTGTCAAATCAGCACCACTAAAGGTCCATCTGCACTAAAGTTTTCATTTAGTAATGCAAAAATTCTTTCCATTTAGCCTTCTGTCCACACTACCACGGATCTTTTTTCAGCACTGTCCGACAGCTAATCTTTCTGCAAACACATTAGTGCGGATGCTCATAAACGTAAAAATTTTGTTACACCTACATCAGTGAGCTTGGACCAGCTCATGATCCTTTCCTGATTAGCTCTCTTCGTTTTGATATCTCTTTTCCTAATTGGCTATTCCTCACGGGAATGAAGAATACTTTGCCTTTGTTTTCGTAGAAATCAGCCACATATGCATGGAGGATGTACAGGACTTTTGCTACCTGGCATATGTTTTGTTCATTTGTCTGTAATTAAATTATGTTTTGGGTACATTGTATGGTGTTTACAACTATTGTGAAGCTCAAAACCAGTCTGTACCTGAGCCGAGTTTAAGTGCAACTCTAGCTTATAATAAAGACATTCAGCCATCGAACATGAGTGCACTGAAACTGAGGGGAAAAGACTGAGACGTGTAGTGACTAAATTTCTGTATCCCTGCGTTGTTGCTGTGATGGTTCCTTTTATATACAGCTTTGCGTTTGCATCGCTACAGTACTGTGATATTTCACTTTTGCAAAATAAAATATGTGCATTTACTTTAAAGGCATAGTTGCGTATGAGATTAATCAACAGTCAAGCGTTTATAAAAACGGAACTTTATTACTAATCAAAGTTAAAATAGACGATTCAAAATATATAGTTTGCCATTCCTAGCATAATAAAAAATTTGGTTGGACAAAAAAAATGTGCAAATGGCACGTTCTACTCGACCTACAACAAAAAAACAAAATATAAATTGCGCCACTTCTAAAAAATATTATAAAAATCTTTATGTAAATGTGCAAGTGAACATTTTCATAAATGCATACATTGACAACCACTCTTATACACAACAGTAAAATCCCCTTATAGTGGACTCGCTTATGACGGAATATTGGCTATAACGGACGAGGTCCGCTGATCCCGGCTGTGCGCCTTTACGAACATGCAGAAAAAGCATCAGATATCGCATGGACTCGCATATAATGGAATTTCGCTTATAACAGACAAACAATTCGGTCCCTAGGGCCGCTTTTAGCTGTAGTTTTGTTCGGCTATAACGGACATACAGGCTCCGCCTACAAGGCGCCTGGCGGGCTGGTGATATCCAGCGCAGATACATAGTTGGGATTATTAATAGTCATGCATCTGGTCAGCTAAAGTTGGATTACTACATGTACAATATAATAATCTATACCACAAGTGCGTCTGCTGGGGTGTGGCAGGAGTAAATAGTGTCCTGTATAGTTGTGTTCTAAGCCTACAGCGACTCTAGATATAATGGATTTTGGATATAACAGACTGTTTTGCAAGGTCCCTTGAAGTCCATTATAATGGGATTTTACTGTATATACCATTACACAAATGCTGAAGCTAATTATTTATGTAGTCATAAGCTACGTCATCTGCCTTTTACACGGAGCAGGATGAACGCAAAAGTTTTTTTCAACACTAGTGAGAACGACAGTGTGGAAGCGGATCTTTTCTTTTGGAAACTACCACAACAGAAATTTTAACACGTTAGTGCGGACGTAGCCTCAATCATTCATTGGACAGCAGTGTGGTCAGTCACTTATCAATAGCTAAAATAATAAAAACACCTTTATGAGACCATGTTCAGGCAGGCTCTTAGTATAATTACATTTATTCAGTTATATACCCCTTGACTGCTGTTCATCTTGCTATAAAATCACATACGCTGTCAGAAACAAAGTACCAGTTTGTACCATTGAGGGTAGAGTCACTTATCACATGTGCTATACCCTCAAGGGTCTGCCAATTGTACCCTAGCTGTAGGTAAATGTACCTTTTAAGATAAAGAATTGGACTCTGAGGAACATTTTTGTACCATAGAGGGTACATTCATGTTGTTTGTACCTTGGGGAACAAAGTAACAGGGCTGTACTCTTTTTTTCTGACAGTGTATGAGGACCTTATTGAAAGCACCCACCAGGGGCACTTCCCCAGGTCTGAGCAGGACTAGTTCTTCCATGAACACCCCCCACCCCCACACACCTCACCTTTGTAGTAAGGCAGAAGCCCGAGAAATGCTTGCCTCACTTTCTCCCCTGTGAGGGGCTGGGTGGCCTCCAGATTCTCCAGCAGGGGTCCGATTCCATAGTACTGGGCTTCGATGTACACTGCCAGTACCCGCTCCCTCTGAGGAAGCTCTCCCGAACGCAGGAAGTTCAGGATGTCCCTTGAACCCAAACACAAGTTGTGTAAACTGTTACGCAAGAAGGATATCCTGAGATACACACAAAGGATCTTCAGTCCCAGCACAAGTCAAGGCTCACCCAAAATATGTTCCATCCCGGTCGATGAAGTAGCGTCCCTCAGCATCCAGGAGAAGATGGTGTCGTCCACTGAACATGGCTGCCAGCACGCCATCTTCGAAGCGCCGCAGGGTGGAAAGTCGCGTGGTGAAGTATTTGCCCCCCACATTAAGGGAGATAACTTCTGGAAACTGCAGATTACAATCACACATTAAAGCTTCAAATGGCTTATGAGAAATTACTCACTGTGAAATGGACTTGAGTTTAGTTCAGTTTACATCCTGCCCCATGCTTCCTCTGACAGGCCCTGCTTCACTGACCATAAGAAGATTAGCAGTCTACCAACTTCACTAACAGTTTTATAACAGAATAACAGAACTAAAGCAAATGAACATAAAATTCTACATTTGCTTTCCATTGCTATCCAGCTGGTTCTTGTCCGAATGTCTTCTGTAATAACACGTAATTAACCAGTTTCAAGTAACTATTTTCATCAAAGTGAAACAAACTTTATCTTTTTAAATTTTACCCCGACACGCCCTTATCTCGCACGTCATCCTGTTCCACCAATTAGCGTAACCGTACATCCACCAATTACATATACCAACCACATTCTATGTAATATAACAACACGAAATAATAAGTATGCTACGCCCTCCTAAAAGATTCAGCAGTCTGGCTGTCGGGACATTAACTGACAACCCGGATTCATTACCTCAACCGGAATACAACACGCTAATCCCTAATACAGAGACCCAACTACCAGACGGCCTCACTGCCCTTGGTTCGTTTTGTCACCTCAAAGACTAAAAGCTCTTTAGTCTGACAGGGCTTACACGTGTGCTTAAACGAGTTTATTACCTTCATATTAATCACAATATATTGCACACGGACAAACACCAGCTCATCCCGATTGTTTTTGCCTACGTGCTTACAATATAAAATAAGAATGAGAAATTCCATTTCTACTTATGGTTTATTAGGTCAGAATAAAAATGTCTATAGAAAATGGAAGAAAAAACAGCCGCTACACGTAACGTACAGCTATGACTCATTATTAACGGTGTAAAACATACAGTGTCTGATAAGCAACGCATATGTTAAAATGACTGGTCCTAAAGTTGCCGTCATTTATTGTTCAGCTGCTCAGTCCATAGCGCTCACCTCCCGGGACGCGTTAAAGAAGGAGCGCTGCATCCCCAGCTCCATGTCCTTCATGGGGGCACACAGCTCCCCCGTGTCGCCGGCTGCACAGTCAGAAGTCGGCATGGCGTCGCGCGCCTCGTCAGGCTCAACCGCCGCGGATACTCCGGGCTCGGTGATCGCCCGCCTCTCCTGCGGGATCAGCCGTCCTTCGGAGGAGCGCGAAAGCGCCGCGATCGCTCTGCAAGCATGTGCTCTCCCCCCGATGCAGCCCTCGCCAAGTCCATTTTGCTGCATGCACACACACTAGATCAGTCTACTTTCGCTGCTGATCTAATAAGAGGACCGGGACAATCACGCAAGCCCATGCCCTCTTCGGTAATACAACGAAGGTGAGGACAGCATTACCCCACAGCACACGACACCCAATTTGCTGTGTGGCGTAAAACAACGAATTACGCTATTCTAGTACCACGCAGTAATGCGCAGAAAACCAAACCACGTTACGATTACCCGAAACAATTCGTGTACATGCAGCATAGCACATTATTCAAGCCTAACGTTTAACTCATCAACAATTAACTATCTACACACCCAGAAGTGATTCTAGGGACACTGGGGGCCCTAGGCAAATAAACTCCATGGGGCCCTCCAAGGCAACCACCCCCCAGACATGGTAAAATTTATGACCATTATTTGAGCGTGAAGTCTAAATTAATTATATCAACAAAGAGAATTTAATAAACACAGTTCCTTTATTTTCACGTTTGTGGAAAAACAGAATACACAAATAAACTAGATTTGTACTTGTACTGGGCTTTGTAATCAGCCCAACTCGGGGGCCTTGTCTGTCCTCCTGTCCTGTCCCTATGCCTCTGCACACATCTACTGCTGACCATGACCTTCTAATATCAATAATTTGCCTATTGTGTCAAAGCAAAACAGACCTTAAAATATCTAAAACAAAATTACACAGTAAACAGTGTAATGTTCTAATGGGGTTTGTTACACATTCCCGTTAAGACGCCTTGCTAATCACAGATCAGCTCTGCTCGCGCCCCGTCCCCCCTCCCCCCACACAAAATATATGTATATAACAAATGCAAAAAATTCCTGACGTTCTCCTCGATAATTCATTGTAATCATATTATAAAGACATTAATTAGTATGGATTACACTTTTATATCTCTGTACTGGAGTTAGGCGCCGTGGTCTCAGTTACTGCTTCAGGAAGCTACAGTTTCATCAAAACAATTATAGAAGAATAGCGTCATTACTCGAAGAAAGAGCGTAATTCCTTTTCATTATTAGCCCACGAAATGATTTCAGTGGATTTCAGTGGAATCCATGACTGAATTCGGCCTTTTTATGGACACGCTTTAACACAGGCCAGGACATGTCCTTGATGTACCCAGGAGCCAGGCACGCCTACACGGCGTAATGTACAGAATGTGAAGACGCAATGAATACGGAAATTTCGCAACAGCAGTAAAACCGGAGAGCCCGCTAATAGCGCCAGCGGTATTACACTGCGACCAAATTTGTTTTGAAATCACTGCTGAAATCCATCGGATTACACCGCTAAATGGCTGGTAAGACAAAAATGCATCTAATTAAATATTACGCGAATAGTAACTTCCATGCAGGCTGTTCGTGGTAGTGTAACGTGCATATTTGCATTAATGTGGGTGATTCTCATACTGCAGAGAGGGTCGTGTAAAGACTTTCGAGGAGTAGGTGCAGGGGTGTCTGAAGCATTTTCAATGTGGAGTGGGGACACATTGGCATAAAACTAATATTTTATGTTAAATGTGTATGTGTGTGTGTGTGCGTGTGTGTGTGGGTGGGTGAGGTCAGAGCTGATCTGATCTGTGATTAGCAAGACGTCTTAACTGGAATGTGTAACACACCCCATTAGAACATTACACCAAACGAATAATTATGAAATATGAGGGGGACTGCAAAATATGATTTTGCAAACCCAGCTGGTCCCTCTCGGTTAAACTGGCCGAGTGGGAATGAGAGGGTTCGTCGTCAGCGGAACTCTGGACCCTAAAGGGAGACTTTTCCAATCGTTCTTGCTAAAGGGACAGGGTGTTCAGGCATCCCCAGTACCCCTTCTCCCCTGGCCTGGACATCCCTGACTGTAAATAACTCTACATGTCGATATATTTCGGAACAATCACCAGAAACTAGGAGTACGGTTAATTTCACTTTCGTTATTAATTTGTTTTTCAATTGATCAATTTAAAAATCTCTCGAGGAATCTAACTTTGAAGCTGACTAGGTTATAGTTTTAATATCGATTCTGAAAATAATTTTGGAAGAATCAAATTACCATGGCAGGATTTCAGAACATTAGAGTATTCAGTTTACCGAATGCGACATATGCGAGTTAGCAGAGTGACTTAGGTGGAAAAACGTCAGCAAAGTTAGTGAGATATATTCAGCATTCGTTTGACATTCCGAAAAACCATTCATTTTCATTGGTTATTAAGACATACAGTATTTACGAAAATAACCTTTTCGTGGATAGACGACTTAATTCAGTAGAGTACAATAACCCTGCAGTCATCTACAGGTTATATATTTTACCTGGAAAAAGATTATGGTGGAACATACCGACTATCGCAGTTCGATAATCAGGGACCGTCAACAAACTACTGCAAGCTAAGCAAAACGTTTACAGAGGAGGAAACTCATTCAGCCATCTTCTTATGGAGTTCATTTTATGAATTAGAAACTGAAAGACACAAACACGTCCTGATGTGTTGAAATACAGATTTTGCTTAGCACATCTCTCACACATCCCTCGCACACCACAAGGCATATTTTTGGAAATATTGATTTTATTTTACAATAATATAAACAAAATCAAAATTTGCAAAAACATGCTTTGTGTTATGTAAAGGATATTAATCTATGGATATGAGAATTGGTTTGACAACACCGGGTTGCATGGTCAAAGAGATTAACAGATTTGTTTCATTCAAATGAATTTTTTTTTACATAAAAATAAAAAAATCAGCATAAAAATCAGCCTTGTTGTATGTGAGATACATTAATCTGCCTATATCAGATGTGGTCGGTGCCTGACTCTCAAACTGGCTGCCACAGTTTCTCACCTTTAACTTTATGTGTGAAAACATGTGTGTCAGTGGAGGATGCAGTCAGCTTGTGCCTCCATTGTGTCCTTCTCCATTTTGACACCCTCAGAACCTATGCCAGGATTCTGTTCGTGGATTTCAGCTCGGCCTTCAAAGTCAATGTACCAGAGTGGCCCCACAGTAAACTAACCCAACTTGCTGTACCCTCCAGCCTCTGTCAGTGGTTTGCCAACTTTCTGACAGATAGGAAGCAGTATGTGAGGCTGGTTCCCCACCTCTGATCCGATGTCCTTCAGCACAGGTCACCCTCAGGGCTGAGTCCTCTCACCCCTCCTGTTTTCACTGTACACAAATGACTGCACATCCAAGGACAGCTCCAACAAAATCCTGAAGTTAGCAGATGGCATAACTGTAGTGGGTATCATCTCTAACAACAATGAGACCAGCTATCATGAACGAGTTGATGTAGCTTGTTGGGTTGACAAAAACTGGAGCTCAATGCTGCCAAGATGAAGATCGACTTCCACCATCAGCCCCACATACTCACCCCCCCAGAAGATTAAGGGCCAGCCCGTGTCTGTGGTCGAGTCATTAAAAATTCTAGGGACCTCCGTCTCCAACACATGGAAGTGGGACAAGCACATCACCTCCACCACACAAAAAGCTCAGCAGAGACTGTTCTTCCTGCGCAAACTCAGGAGACTCATCATGTCACAACATATCATGATATACTTTAATTCAGCCATCATAAACACCGTTGTGACAAACTCCGTCACCTTCTGGTTTCCTGCCGCCACCAGCCTCTCCAGGTCCAGGCTGCTGCGAGTCATCAGCTCAGCTGAGAAGCTTCTCATAAGGTTTCATTGGCTGCCGACTTCCAACCTTAAAAGAACTGTTCACTGCCAGAGCAAAAAGGAGAGCAGTGAGGATTGCAGCAGACTCCACACACCCAACCATCTGTTCATTAAACTGTCATCAGGGAGACGTTACCGGTCCATCACCTCCTGAACACTTTCTTCCCTGAAGCCATCAGTCTCCTTAATAAATAAATAAATATCTAGCAAGATTTCCTCCATCTTTTGCACTTTTTCCCCGACTGTTAATTATGTTGCACACTTGCCATCTTTGCACTTTACACACATATACCCACTATCAAGAACAATCTGCAGTTTTTGGCCTGTTAGGACCGCAGTATGTACCATATTGTCTGTATTGGTTTGACCTCACCTGTTGTTTCACAGTCAAAAAAAAAATCATTTGAGTCATGTAACTTAATTTGCATAAAATAAGCAAAATCAATATTTCAGAATATCAGTCCATATTTTTGTCTTAATTCATACAGTAAACATTACAAGAAGATGGTTGAATGATTTTCCTCCTCTAAACGTTTTGCGTAGCTTTCAGTAGTTTGTTGATGGTCCTCCTGCGATAGTAGGGTTCCACCTTAATTTTTTTCCAAGTAAAATACATAGCTTGCAGTTTACTGCAGGTTTGTACTTGTACTGTACTGAATTATGTCATCTGTCCACGAAAAAGTTATCATAGTAAGTACTGGATGTTTCAATGACAAATGACAAGCAAGCGTTTTCGGAATGTCAAACAAATGTTGAACATCAAACTAACTTTACCGCAGTCCAAGGTCTTCAAAAATGTATTGCATATCAACATCAAACTCTACTCATAGTTGTTTTATTTCAGGAATGAATCAATGAATGATGAGGGTCTATTGAAGTTTTAAAAGACAAACCTCGCAACTGGAGGAAATCCAGTGATGAATTTTGGATCAGAATATCATCAGAGCTCCATTAGCACAGGAAAGATGAAAAATGAGGAATAGTCTGTAATTTAGACAATATGTAACCTGGAGGAAGGTGTTCTAGTTCCTGGGATGTCCTAAAGAAAACTTAATTGAACTTAATGGGCCTTTGAAGTCCACAGTGGGTGGGATTATATTGTACCATCAATGGCCGAATCGTACTCCCCCCTTTCCACCACACAACAGGAACTTTGACGTTTATGGTACATAAGCATGTAATTTCATCTGAAACTGCACTGCCACCCCAAAACAATGGAGGATAAACAATGAAATAGTTTTATTAGTTATTTGTTAGTTATCGTGGGAATCGATCACGATCAAATTGTGGCACAGCCTTTTATTTATATGACCCATGGCATGTTTATAAAATTTATTATTAAATCTGGCCAGCAGATCAATCTATTTTCCTCGGAATAAACGATGTAACATCTTTCCGCTAACAAGCACTAGCAAGTTTCACCGCCGGCCCTGGCAATTTTAGGCAAAAGTATCTGTTATCTATAAAATTATCCAAGGAGGAATATGGAGATGCAAGGAAGAAGGTATTTGTTAAATCATCAGATGTCATTGAGATACAAAAATAATTCCATCTGCTCAGTTTTTGCTCCACTTCTCCTACCTCTTTTGCTCACACTTCTGTGTAACTGGTATTGTCTGAAGGGCAATTCATACTTAGGTGTCCATGTTGTTAGTGTCATAATCACGTGATCAGCGACAAGTCAACAGCCTGCTTAAAGCATCACCGTAGAGCGGTAACGACGACCAGTCGACTACTTTGTGCCACCCCTACTGGTTACTATTTTACAACCCAGGGAGTGAATCACAGCATGAGAATGGCGCCCCCTATGGGTTTCCAAAGCTGCACATCTCCATTTGAATGCATTGTACCTCATAGCTCTGTTCCTGGAGAAAAAGTAACATTCAAATTTCCTTGATTCCTTTCAGTTCCTCTAGTGTTTAATTAACAATGCAGCATGAAACTTAGGGCAAAACAAGCATGATACTAGCATTCTAATGAAGGTAGTGTGTTTATAATGAGTTGTCCTGCTGACTGTCCCTTCATTAGATAAGGAGTTGAGAAGGGTGCGGGGCACCTTCGTGGAGGGAGTGACCAAACCTGTGATCCAGCAACTGGTTGACGATCTTCAGGGGAGTAAAATCCTGAACGATGGGGAGGTGGAGTCAGTGCATGAGGAGTACAGCACCAGAGCGGACAAGGCCCGGTGTCTCATCGACATGGTGGTGAAGAAAGGCCAAAGGTCCAGTGAGACATTTATAGGTCTGTTGAAGGACCGGGATACCAACCTCTATGACAAGCTTGGCCTGGGCTCTCAGGCGGAAACCAAACTCAGTAAGTGCCGTCAGAGCCGATTCCCAGTAGCTTCAGCATTTGTTTGTAGAATAAGAGCTGGGTTCTTGCTGGTTCTTAATGTGCAGTGTTTGTGCCCCAGCCCCCCCACCCCCGCCCCCGGACCAACCACCTAGGGTGCTGATAGATGAGGAACGGGAACTGTCTCATGTTCTGCTTCCCTCCAAGGAAGCCTTCAAGAGGGAAATAATGGAGAAGGCGGCAAAATCGGTAAGTGTGATGAGCTTTGGGGGTGGTAATCACCCCAGTCCCTCAGCCTCCCTCTTCATTTCAGGAATCATGTTAGTAAACTTTGTGGCTTTTATGACTTGATAGATTTGTGGGGGGTGTAAGTGGGCTGTAACGCAAATGTTATAAAATGTGACCATTTCACACGTAACCTACTGAATAACCTGATAGTATGAGGAGAGCACAGACCCCAGAGCTGCCAGAGTCACGTCAAGGGAAATTAAATTGACAGATGATGCGTCATTTTCACTGTTCAGCACTGTCATCACTGGCTTTTCATACACTTGGTATCAACTGACTATCCCATCAGATCTACCCCCCCATGGAGAAAGCAGGCCGTAAACGTTTGGCTCTGCTCATTAACAACATCGAGTTTGACCGGGCCGATATGCTGCGGAGAGGAGCAGAAAGGGATGGAGAACGTATGGAGGTTTTACTTAGAGGCCTGGACTATGACGTGGTGCATTTAAAGAACAAGTCTGCTGAGGTAAATGTTCAACATCGATACAACCATGGCTGAACATCCTCAACCTCAATACACAATTAGAGAAAACTGTTAAGCTGGTGATTGCTTTATACTCAGCTAGTTAGCCAATAACAGAATTATTTATAATAGAGAGTTACCCTGCCCCCCTCCACATGGTGTATCTCAATGTAATGCTGGGCTGTAGAGTGAATTGTCAGTGTGTGGTTTCTCTTCTGGCTACAGGACATGAACAAAGAAGTGAAAGCGTTCGCTCAGCGTGAGGAGCACCGTCTGTCGGACAGCACCTTCGTGGTATTCATGTCTCACGGCAAGCGAGACGGCATTTTTGGAATCCACCACAAGAGTAAAGAAGATTCAGATGTTTTCAACATCGACAACATCTATAATCACCTCAACACAAAGAGCTGCAAAGGACTGCGTGATAAACCCAAAATAATCCTCATCCAGGCCTGCAGGGGGGGTAAGTTTGCTTCCGGCACTAATTTACACCAGGACTGAACCTCAGCGAAGTGTCCATTCTGGTCCTTAGGTGTCAGAGCTGGTTTTCATTAACATCTGCTTTTATTAGAGAACTTCACCTCCACAATGTGACAGTTAAACAACCAGCTGAGGTGGCTGGGAATTTCATCTGTATAAGATCAGATTCTTCTAGGAGAAAGTCCTCCTTTAATTGTAATACATAGTATTACTCAGCTGTGTGACTTATGGGGCACTTTCAGCGAAGCTAAACATGACGAATCAGAAACCAGGTCCTGGTGGCTCCATCTGCCAGAAGTGTCTGAGAACTGAGACCACTTGAGGAGCCAGACAGGTGGCCTAAGTCATGGTGTGTCTTTACAGATGAGGACGGCTCAACCTGGGTCTGTGACAATGTTCCTGAAGTGCCTGAAGCCATGGAGGACGACAGCATCAAGGAGGATCACAAGGAAAAAGACTTCATCAGCCTCCTGTCCTGCACACCAGGTCAGCCGCCACACCCCGCCCCCGATATCTTTACCTAACTTTTGCTGAGGTTTGAAGTGTGAGGAGAAGCAGAACCACATCAGTAACACTAATTCCAGCTGGGACATTGCTGTTGTGTGTTTCTACTCAGACACCAAGTCCTTAAGACACGTGACAGAAGGTACAATTTTCATCCAGCGTCTTGTGGAGATCTTCAACACATATGCTTTTGAAGACCATATTGAAGAGCTTTTTAGGAAGGCAAGTATCTTCAGGTCAAATGGCTTTTCATTATTGCAGTCACCCTAATTGACAGTCATCTACCTTAGCCTGTTAAAATCTACAGGAGTCATTTTTCAACCTCTTTGTGACTTTGTGACACGGTAAATGCTTACTAAAAATGACATTTGTCCACAGGTTATGAGCAGATTTGAAAACTTCCCAAGGCAGATGCCATCCAAAGACAGAGCCACTTTGACCAAACATTTTTACCTTTTCCCTGGGCTCTGAGACACCTCCTCCATTTTCTGAAAGATAATATGCAAGATAATAGAATTTTTTTCATCATACTTCCAAATTAAGACATCCATGAACAATGTATTTGAATATAAAACATCAGGGCTCAATGTATTTGTACACTGCTTATATTTCATACATGAGTTATGACTGATTATGCAAAAATCTGTACAAATATTCTTTGATACTTTTGATATTGATTTCTACTGTTACTGCTGTTACAGTAACAATACACTCCAGGAAGCAGTGTGGCACAGCGAGTACGTTGTTCCTTTATTTCACACAGCAACCCTTCATCCTGTCATCTGACATGGGGCAAATTCACACAAGACAGTCATACGGTCAAGGTGGGAACATGAGACAGATCTCCTTCCCCCTTAAAAAGTGACCAAGTACATACATGCCGAGTACGTAACATCTCAACAGCTACTGAACTGCCTGTCCAGGTTTTCCCACAGACAAGCTGGGATACCTGGAGAAGCCTCCTCCTCCTCCTCTTCCTCCTCGTGCTTAAGGGCACCGCCAGCAGATAGTCACATGCAGACACATGACTGGGGACATGCCGGTGTGTGTGTGTGTGTGTGGGGGGGGCGGGGATGGATGCTGCTGCTGACAGTTTATGCCCATAAACTCTGGTAAAATGACATTCAGAGGTTCTCTGGAATAAGTGTTTGCTTTGACAGGGAAATTGATACTTGAAAAGTTTATTGGGTTTCTGCTAGGGGTGGCACGGTTCACAAAACCCACGGTTCGGTTTGTATCACGGTTTTAGGGTCACGGTTTTCGGTTCTGTACGGTTCTTGTTGTTTTTTCTTTTAATCTTTAACACTCCAGAAATGTACTTCAGCATATGATATATAGCTTAATTATCCACAATTTAGGATA